CACACAACTTTTGGGGAGCTCTGAGCCCAGGTTCAAGTTTACGTAAATTTATTTCCCCTCCCTGTTGTTGATAAAACAAGATATCTTGTAGGGATTCGGACCATTCGGAGTTTGCAGGAGATCAGTGATCTTTGCCCTTCCTGGCGAATGGCTAGGCTCATCTAGACTCCATACCCTAAACCCTAAACTTCCCTAAACCCTAAATCTATATCCTCTGATCATTTTTTAGCGCCTCGCCGGCGAGAAACTGCACATGCGTCATCTCTTTGAGATTCCATGTGACCCACCTTAAGGCTCCATATACCTATGTAGTATAGTTTAGGGTTAGGGTTTAGGGGTTTAGGGTTTTGGGTTTTGGGTATGCACTTAGACCTCAAAGTACCCATATAGGAACCCCTTTCTTAGGCCCAAGGGCATAACTCTAAAACCCTAAGCCCCTACTACACTATAAACCCTCAACCCTAAACCCTAAACCCTACTCACTACTCTACTATAAACCGTAGATACCTGGAGCCTTAGGGCCAACGGTGTCGTGAGACCCACAAGAGGTCCTAGCTACAGAGAGTCTGCGGATGAGATTTGCCGAAGCAGCTACGAGGTTCCCTTCATAGCAGAACGCTGGGCGGAGCAATATCTGAATTGTCCTTTAAGGGTTTAGGGTTTTAGGGTTTTTAGGGGTTTAGAAAGTTAGGGATTTAGGGTTTAAGGGTATCATGCCTAAAAGGGTATAGGGTTTAGGGTTTAGGGTTTAGGGTTTAGGGTTTAGGGTTCTAACTCCTCATGCCCAGGAGCCTGGTCGTTTCATCTAGTGCTAGCAACCACTGCAACTGCTGCTAGCGGCTACCACCAGTCCACCTCCGAAATTTTGTACACTGATGCTCACTGCTCAAACGAATCCCAAGCCCTAAGCCCTAATCCCTGTAAGCCCTATAAGCCCTAAATCCTAGAAACCCTAAGCCCTAATGGCTACACTTTGCGATGTGCTAGACGCAGCTCTCCAAAAGTGGTCTCAGGAGATCAGGAGATAGGCTTCTGTCCTTGGCTACCTTGCGACTGCGCGGCTTTGAGCACATGGCCTTGGCATCTGGGGCTTGGGTCCAAGTAGGGTTTTACATATTATAAAGGTTGCATAGGGGTTCTGCAAGGGTGGTGCAGGTTGTATGAAGCTGTTCGAGGGCTACAGAGGAGTTTTATACGGGTTCTATGCAGGGTTTTAGGGCCCAGGACGAAGAGCTTGACCCCTATGCATGAACGGTTTTGGGGTCTGCATCAAGTCTTTTTTCGGGTTTTGAGCTGATGTTCGCGGCAAACAATCCTTCTCGCAGAGACGAGCCTTGCAATCTAAAGTCGTAAACGCCCTCGCCCACAACCCTCAACCGTCACAGCTGACACAAAGCCCGGAGCCTGACAACCCAAAGCTTTGTCAGGTCAGTAGGAAGACGAGGATCAGGGTTTAGGGTTTAGGGTTTAGGGTTTATCCAGTTATAGCCCCGGAGTACATATTATAGTTATAGCCTACCCACAACCAGTCGAATTATGAAGGCACCTATGTTCAAAACCTGCTACGCCAAGCACAAGCCCTAGATGCAAAGCAGGCGACCCAATAACTCCCAAAGCCCCTAATTACGGAATGCCCTTGATGATAGGAATGCCCCTTGAATGCTAGGAGTGCTCATATGTATGGCTCTAAGACAAGTCCTCAATCAACGACCTATAAAACCTTCTGCAACGCCGCAAAGCCCTAATTCAGGCGTTTTGCTTTCATATCTCCTAGGAGGGAGTAGACCGTAAATTAAGGTAGGAGCCCGACTATGATCTGAGGTATATTCCTCAATTAAGGTATGTTGATGAACCCCTAGGCCCTAAGCCCGCAGACCCTTAACAAAACTCTTCTAGAACTAATTAATTCCCTTTAAAGTCTTAAAGGAATAATTATAACAAGGAGCCCCCCCCCAAAAAAAAAAATAGTATAGGTAATTCTTTTCAGGCCCCTAAACCCTAAACCCTGAACCCTGAACCCTAAACCCTAAACCCTGAACCCTAAACCCTAAACCCTGAACCCTAAAACCTTTTTTAGGGACCCACTTCGGCCCCTTTGAAGGAACCCTTTGAGGGACTCTCGGCACCCGGACGAGGCGATGATGCTTCTGCAAGCAGAGCCTCTTTCGGCCGTGGGTAGCTGAACGGTTTAGGGTTTGGGGCTTAAAGTTTGGGGTTCAAGGTTTGGGGTTTGGGGTTAAGGTTTAGGGTTTGGGGTTTAAGGTTTGGGGTTTAGGGTAGCTGAACGGTTCAGGGTTTGGGGCTTAAAGTATGGGGTTTAAGGTTTAGGGTTTGGGGTTTAAGGTTTGGGGTTTAGGGTAGGGTTTGGGATTCAGCGTTTGGGGCTTAAAGTTTGGAGTTCTCAAGGTTTGGGGGTTAGGGTAGGGTTTGGGATTTAGGGTTTGGGGGCTTAAAGTTTGGGGTTCAAGGTTTGGGGTTTAGGGTTAAGGTTTGGGGTTTGGGGTTCAGGGTCTGGGGTTTAAGGTTTGGGGTTTAAGTTTGGGTTTGGGGTTTGGGGTTCGGGGTCTCGGGTTTTCGGTTCAGGGTTTGAGGTTTGGGGTTTGGGGTGTGAGGCTGAGGGTTTAGGGTTTGTGGTTTAGGGTTTGGGGTTCGGGGTTTGGGGATTAGGGTTCGGGGTTTTAAGTTTTGGGTTTAGGGGCTTTTCCCTAATTCTCCAAACCCGGGTTTTAGGTTTTGTAGCTTAGTTGTAGGTTTGTTAGTAGGATTGGGGAGAGTTGTAATGAAAACCCCCAAATCCGAAGCTCTATTTGGGACTTGGACCCGTAGCTACGACCGGGGCTTTAGCGGTTAGGATTTGGGGGTGTAGGGCTTCTGGCTTGAACCCGGGCTTCAGGGCTTAGCATGTACGGTTGACCGTTGAGGATCCACCCTAAACCCTAAACCCTATCAGCCCTATAAACCCTAAGCATAAACTCTTACGCCCCTGACTTCGAACTGCTTCGACCCCTAGAGGATTTTGAGCTTGGTTCAAGAAGTTTGCTCTTGCAGCTCTGGGCATGTTCAGCACAAGGCCTGGAACTTTTTGCCCGTGAGCCATCAACTTCAATCCTCGAGCCGCGGCTTGCTGAAGCAAGCGCATGTACACAGCAGAATTGCTGCTCCGACGACGATTTGTCTTATTCCTACCATACTAGGCCAAGTAAAGCTAGGGTGATTTTCGGTTCGCCCTTTTGTCAATTTTGGAACCACGTTCACTACACAGGTCTTTCGTCGTTTCTTGTATTCAATACTCAATTGACAGGCTCTGCGGCAGCGCTTGTCACAACCTCGCCTAAACAAGCCCCCCCAATACTTCCAAGCCCTAGCCTACACTCGAAACCCTAAACACCTAGACTATCTGGACTTGAAACCTAAAACCCTGAAACCTAAACCCTTAAACCCCTAAACCCTAAACCCTAAACCCCTAAACCCTAAACCCCTATAATAGGCTTGAGATTACATTCCAAGGGCACTCAGAGCTTCGCAAGGCGTAGAATTCGACTCATCAGCTCCTTCGCATGCGAAGGTGGCCGAAACGCAAGCCTGGAACCAGGGCGGGGCAAAGGACCTAGGATTTAGGGCTTAAGGTTTAGGAGCTAGGGATTATGCAGAGTTTAGGGATTGCCAGGCTTCTAAGGCTTCTTGTAGGGTTTAGGGTTTAGGCTTTAAGGTTCGTGGCCTAAGGGTTATGTAGGTTTTAGTCCTCTAAGGGCTATGTCGGGTGCAGGGCTTGAAAAAGGGTTCTTGTGGGGTTAAGGTTTTAGGGCCTCAGGGTTCTGTAGGAAGTTTCGGGCCAAAGGGTGAACTGTAGACCCCTGATGAGTTGCCTCCCCCCCCGGCCTTTAATCAAAATCACTAATCATAGGTCCCTCTAAACCCTAAACCCTAAATGCACTTAGTAGGGCCCTGGGCGCTTAGAAGGGCTTTAGGCAGGGGATCTGTGGGCCGCAGGGTTCATCAGATCGCAGGGAGGCGGCGCCAAATGTGAGGGGACCCTAAACCCTAAACCC